AAGCAAGCTTTGGTGCAGCATGTGCAGCTAGGAGCCGTTGACATCCCTTCCCTGGCAAGCTAGAGCCTGTAATTATAGCAAGCCCCTCTTGGCTGCAGCAGAGCAGCTCGCGCTCATGCTTCACACGCTCAAGCTGTGACTCGATGTGCTGTTGCGAGATCTGTAGAAGACGAAGGACGCTATGGTCGGCCTTCTTTGCCACCATATCCTCAGCCCAAGTATCTCAAGGAAGAAAAGGGGAGGCATACAGCATCAACGCGGCTGGCTTGGAGTTTCACAACTAGCTGAACTGCATATGCCCGCAGAAACTTCACTCCTAAGGTGACCACCAAGATGTTGCGAAATCGTTGGGAGCAGCGTTGGCGCCAAGCTTTGTCAACACGGAAGGACATGTTCTCCGCACACTCCTCCAAGGTGCGATCAAATGCTGCAGCTTTGAAGACCATGAGCGTGCTTTTCCTGACTTTATCAAGAGCTTGCGCAAAATGCGCAAAAGTACTCGTGGTGTGATTCAAGAATGATTTGGAAAGGCCGTGTTATGCCGTGCTGCTTAGCAGTCAACATCCTGATTTCGCCATGTCTTCGTGGCATGCTCGAGCTTCACAGCCCTCTCCTCCCAGCCCAGCAGTTCAACGTCAGCTTCCCCCTGATCAGCACCCTCTGCATCATCGAACTTGGGGCCAGGGAAGACGCCAACCACCTGACTAATCAAATCCAAGCAGATCAGCATAGATCAGCTTTGCGTCTCTTCCAGCCCTAAGCCGCTCCGTCCTGAGCAAACTTGACAACACCGCGTGTCAGCGCAGCGGTGCAGTGCTTTAGGTCTTCGAAGGGCTTCTCGTTCACCTGGAAACGTTGCGCAAACGGCCTAGGCTAAAGGCTTCTGTGTTGACTTCGCCTCTGCTCAAGGCTTGCAGACAGGAGGACAATTCCAGTACTGAGCTATTGAGCAGCTGCTGTTTCCCAGTTGCCTTCGTGTCCAAGACATCATGCACCTCACGGCCGACTGCGTGACCAGCCGTTGGCCAGAGTCAGGCAAAAAGAAGGTACAAACAATTCTGGTCGAGCGTCTGCATCCATCTGGGCTTTCCAATTCTGCTCATCCATGTTGCCTCAACCGACTGCTAGCTTGAGAATGCTTCGGGCATCGCAGTCATGACCAAAGTTGCCAAGCTGCGCTGCTTCTCCATCTTGCGAACAGAATCGCTGTTCTTCTGGATATCCACTTCATGCGACGCACTCTTCACGGTCAGCCCATTCACTTCCTTGCACGGTTCGCAGGTATCTGTGTAGGAGCTTAGGAGCATGGTATCCCGGCCTCACGCAGCTTCAGGATGTCGCGCTTGTGCTCCCCAAGACCTCCTTGCACTCCACTCATGCGGAGGTCCAGGGCCCCCAGGCGGCGGGAGGCCTCCGCGCTTCGGAGCTCTGCCTCAAGCACGCTGACAGGCCCC